TTGATGGATATCTTTTACAGGTTAAACAGTTTGGGATTCCTTTTTTCACTTTTTATTTGTACTTTGGAATACATGCTTCTTAGAAGTTAGGTATTTTAAATGCAGGCAGCAAATGCAAATGCAGCCATGAGTTTTCCTTGATGATCAGTACTTGAGCAGAGTCTTTCTTTGACAATCTCTCTCGTACACTCAGGCACCCTAAGGCTCACACCTTCCAGAAAAGCAGGACCTAGCTTTGAGACTGGCCAGGGCTCACCCTCTGCCTCTGAGCTCTTGCTCTCAGCGAGCTGTAAACCACTGCACACCACATGGCGTGAGCCACTGTACACAACATTTTGTTTAAAAGATATCTTTATAATAGAATTATATTCAGTTGTAGCAAAAATAAAGTTTTCTCTGAATTGAAAATGAAAACACATCTGTGGAAGGTCTTAGAGGGAAGACTCATGCAAAACCATTGTTAGGCATTGGGGGCATAGAAATATGATTGTAAGGTGACCCTTGACAATTGCAAAATCTAGCAGAGGCCATGAGACACAAAAGACTTTGACTCATTGTGGTCAGAATGGAGGGAGCATTTCTTGGTGAACATTTGAATTGGAGCTAAATCATTTAACCCATATTTATGAATTATTTATGCCCATAAACAATGCAGGATCTTCCACTTCATTCATAAGCATTTTGATGTTCAGTTATATCCAGCTCCCAGTGACTGTAATTTAGGCACTCCAGAGAGACCTGGTCCATGAAAGACATCAGCAAGTTCCCAACCCTGTCTGTGACCTGCATGCTTGACCTGTGGCTCAGCCACACCTGCTCAAATGACGAGTTGATCAGTCCACCCAGATTTATCCACATGCCTCCATTCCCCAGAGGCAGGCATGGGGATCCATTTAAGAACACATTTGGTATTTACATCTATAAGCTGTATTTCTATATCCTTTAGTCAATTAGTTTCAGTCATAGAGTACAGACACTTGGTATATATTAAGTGGGGGCATACAATGCCTCTCCTTCATAGCATGGCTTGCTTCACTCAGCAGTAAGTCTTCTATATTCATCCACTTCCTGTCAAAAGCCAGGGTTTTGTTGTTTTTTTATGGATGAATAGTATTCTATTGAGTATATGTGCCATACCAGATATAGTATGTGTGAAAGAGGAAGGTCTGAGGAAGGACATTTGAGGGAGGGACAAGGACGCAAAGCATTAATGGCACAAAGAGGTGTTGTATTATCTGTTGAAGATATTTTGTAGTTTTATCAACAGTACTAGGGAGAAATGTTCACTTGTTGAAATATCCATTTTGTAAGACAAATAATAATGTGATTGAATGTACGGAAGAAAAAGTAATGAAAAAAAAACCCACTTGGTGGCTTGGAAGGGGAGGATTAAAACCTCGTCTCTTGAATACCTTCAGAAACTAACTGATCCTTCAAAGGCAAGGAGCAAGAGCAGTCTCCTTCCCAGTTTCATGGGTTTGCATCTGAGGCCTCTGGTAGATCCTAAGCTCTTTGAGGCCGTGGTGAGTTTGCTTCTGCACTTCTCATCACTATTCCACTCTGAGTACTAGTACAGCACCCATCTGAGCAGAGTGGATGCTCAGCCATTGCCTATTAGGTGCAAATAGAAGAGCTAAATGATAGCTGGCATGCATAGCACTTACTCTGTGCCCAGAACCTTAGAATAACCCCCTAAACTAGGCATTATTATTATTAGGCTTAGTTTGAAAATGAGGGAACAGAAGCACAGAGAAGTTAAGTAACTTGCCAAAGAGCACACAGACTATACATGGCAGAGCTATAGTTTGAACTACAGGATCTGATTTGATTAGCCATGTTCTTATACATGCCACTCCACCAATCTCTGCATGACATAGGTCAGTAAAAGTGATGGTGCTGACGGTGCACCCATAGGGAAGACCTGAGGTCGCGTCATCACCTTTTGAGGGTCCTAAAAGAGTGAGTGGCCAGTGCTTCTGGAACATTTCAGGTGCTGAAGGAATTGAATGGGTCACCCATTGGAATGACAAGCTGAAGAGGACACTAACATGAGTCCAGAAATTAGCTCAAAGCTCTAACTTCAAGTCTTGGGCTCAAAACCGAACTCCTGGCTGACCTTTCAGACAATGATAATAAGACAGTTGGCAAATGAACTTAGAGGACAAATTCAGGGAATTAATTGCCTTGAGGAATCTCGTCAGGAAATGAGGTAACCAGTTAATCCGGGTACAAAGAGTCATTTCCAGCAGGTATTTGCTGTGGGTCCCAAGGTGTACAAGGAGGCTCCACTCTTCGAGGACTTTCTTCTGAGACGGGAGAGGTGAGAGCCCTCTTCCATCCAGATGTCTCTCCTGCTGGCTGTGGGGCAGGCCCAGCCTGTGAAGGGTGGCTTGGTTTCTTGTGACCATGGCCAGCAGCCATGCCTGAGAAAGAGGAATTTTGGGGAGACGGCTCTGGCCGGGGGAGCTGGTTCCACTTCTGGCCCCCTGGCTCATGAGTCTCTGGCATGTCATAAGTGCCACAGCGAAGGGTACTAGGGGCCAGCTGAGCAGCAGGAGCAACTGTCCCTTATGGGGAGATGCCGCCTGCCTGCCAGGCTCCTGCTCAGCTGTGAGTCAGTTCCAAGCAATTAAGTGGATTGGGCTCTAAAACCCTATGGCCATCAGCTGGGACCTTCTTGCCCAGAGCTCCTGGCAGTCCCCGTAGCCAGCTTGGCGGCAGAACCAGCATACTGGGAGCCTGTCTCAATGTCCACTCTGCCTGGAGGGGCCTATTAAAGGAGGCAAGATAATCTACTCTGAAGTTTCTACATATGGGGAGCTAATTACCCTCTTTTGAAATCTGCATTTGCCACCAACCATAACCTTCATGGTGTTGGGACTGCCATGGCAACTAAAAGCATATCTGAAAATAAAATGGCACTTTTTTTTTTTTTTTTTTTTTTACATTTCTGCTGTAATGACACAGGAAACTTGTTTCTCTTGTTTAACCTAACGAGATAACTGGAGAGGACTCAGAGTACAGGTGTGTGCGGCGTGTGTGGGGACGTGGGTGCAGCAGCGTGTGTGAAGGTGTGAGTCAGAGGGGTGTGTAAGCGTGCTGTATGGGTGCCATGCGGACAGGGACAGAGTGTGCAGTCGCGAGCAGCTGTGTGGGTGCTGGGTGGGTGTGGGGTGAGTTCTGTGCAGATGGAGAGGGGATGAACATGGGTCTGAGGTCACAGGCGGGCTGCCAGTCTGAGTGTTTGAGGACTAGTGCCGTGGTGTGGGTGACTGTGCAGGAGCCAGCATTGCAGTGTGTGTGTGTGTGTGTGTGTGTGTTGGGGGACCAGCATGGTCTGGTGTGTGGTCTGTGGTTCAGCACTGTTGTGTGACAGTGTTTTACACACATTGCTTAGTGAGGTGGGCTTCTGGCCTTGAGAAGTGTCTTTTCCTCCATAGGGTATCCCTGTAGAAAGCTCCCTTGGAAAGCTCATCCTAATTACAGGAGAGGCCCTCAGGGAACCAGAGACCATCAGGCCCAGCCCTGACCTCAGCTGTGGGGAGCCTTTGGTCAAGAAGGCAGCCACAAAGCACTCAGTTGAAGTGTCCATCATCAGTCCCTCCAGTAGCTGACTCGCAGTGTGCATAGGGCTTTGGGCGGAGCCCATTTCATTTGAGCTGCGAGGGGCTGACATTGAGCATGAGCATGTACTGTGCATATGTATCCCCAACCACCATTTACAACAATGACACTTGCACACACCTCTGCAAGGCTTTACACTTCCTATAGTTGCTTGCTGAGCCTCCTCTATGGGCCGGCTTTCACAGGCAGTCACTTCCCAGACATGCCAACCCACCTGTCATCAGAACCAAGAGACCAGACAGAATGCGGGGCAGGGCCTCTGGTTCCTGGGACTCTTCCCAGGACGCGATATGGGAGGCCAAGCAATGAGAATGGAGGCACCTCTGCCTGCTGCTAGGAAAAGCCATTGCTTGCTGCAGTGTGCACACACCCCTGTAGCCCTGCTTTCTCAGGTGAGGACTGGATTCTCAGTGACCAGGGCCTCATTTGTTTCACCACCAAAATGCTTCCAGTTATGCTGCCTGAACTTCACATCTGTGGAGATTCTTTGCCTTGTTGTTATTATTTGAACTTCAGTATGGAACTGAGGAGAGCTATTATTGATTAAATGTTAGTTCGGTAAATGTTATTGAGTACCAGTTATTTTAAGATTATCTTTGTTTGGGCCTAAATGCCACAGAGTAGTTTTCTCGATGCGGTGTTGGGGGGGAGGGGACAGAGGCTGTGGACAAACATTGATGTAGGCACAGATGAGGGGACTTAATTCAGCCAAGAAAGAGGGCCAGGTCAAGGCTGGCTTTTCAGACACCTGGGCTGAGTCATAAGGGGCAAGGAGGAGTTATCCATATGTCAGGAAGGGGTGGTGGAGAGAAAGTTGCCCCTTGGTGAGATCAAGTGGAGCTCATACACATTGTCTCAGTCTGGACCGAGATCGTAATAGGACACTGTTCTTGGATGCTCACTCGACAGCGTCACCCGCTCAGGAGGCCTGGCCAGAGTTCTCCCCTCTATTTCCAACTCTGTCCCTCACCTTGTTCCTGTGGTTCTCTTGATGGCAACAGCAAGGAAGCAAATTATGCTGGGGGGTGCTGGGCTTCCTTGTGAGTTGCAATCAAGTTGGCCGCTGTAGCTGTCTCCCCATTGCTTGGTCTCCAGCAAAGCCCACGGGAGGGTGAATGGAAAAGTACCTTAAATAATACGGTTGGTTCCAAAGGCGCATTATTGATTTGTTGTGAAATACCCTCTGGTGACATTGAGGCCTTATTAATAACTAAACATCTGTCACAACTGTAATTACATTCCTTGTGCCAGGATTGTGTTTTTACCATTGTCCTGTGTAAACACAGGAGGGAGGGTGTGAATTATTTAGGTGACTGACTTTGGGCAAATAATCACCCGCATGGTGCAGGCAGTAAGTTTTTGTCAACTCCTTGCAGAGTCTCAGTGTCTTCGCTGACGTTCCTCTGATGTGCTCCCAAATCTCTCTGAGAACATCGCCCTGGACCCCCGATGCGGCTGCCCGAGCAACCTGGAGAGGGGAAGCCCGAGAATGAGAAAAAGGGGGACGGAGGAGCCCCTGGAGGGGGAGAGGAGCCACCGAGGAGCCAGGCCCCCGACTTTCCCACCTGGCAAGTCTTCTCCCCCCAAACCCCAGGACCTAAATTATTTTGCAGCCCTCAGGTAGGGGGTGGCGTGGGATCTGGGAGCCTTTCTGCCAGTGTCTGGGGTAGAGAGGAGGCTCTGTTGGGAGTATCCCTGGGAAGGGTTCCCAGAGGATGACCTGTCCCAGCTGGGTACAGAGATTTTACTCAATATTGAGTCTGACGGATTCCAATATATTGTATTTGAGATGCGGTGGTGGGATGAGGAGCTGGGTTTGTAAACTGATTCTGTGAGGAGCTGCTTGGTTTGAGGAACGGGGTGCTAACTGTTAAAAATAACAGCAACAGGTATTTTACAGAGTGCAGTTTAAGCAGCAGCCTAGAAATGGGTGGTTTGCATAGATAATCCCAATTAATCCTCAAACAACCCCACAGGGCCTTGTTAACCCCATTTTTGCTGGAGAAAAGTAAGACAGATATGAAGCAACTTGCCCCAGATCACACAGTTGAAGGCAAGCCCAGGTTCCAAGTCTCTCTGACTCTAAAACTTATATTCTTAACCACTAGACTCTTCTGCCTCTCCCTGATCATCAAGGAGGTTGGTGCGAGGTGAGGGGTTTTACCTGTTTCCCAGCCACAGGCTTCCCTGAGTTTTTGATTCTGTGCTTTTCCTTTTCCTTGGAGACATCCAGAACTAAAAACTCAGAATGAATTTCAACTTTGGGTGCTTGAATATAGTGGGCAACTTTCTGTGTGATACTGGCCTCGAGAAATTGGTCTGTGGTGCATCTTACACATAGGTATGCTCTGAAATTGTCTCTCGAGGCCGTTCAGAATGGGATCACTAGCCTTCTCTGCCACTGGCTCCCACTAGCTACTGAAGGTGTTTATGGTGGGGGAAGAGTTTAGGGTTAGGCTTATAGGGAAAAATGAAGTAAGGACATTCCTTTGGGGAATAACTTTGAGTGACTGTAACTCCTGATTTTTAGCAATTTCTCCCCATTGTTGGGGCTGAACCTTAAGGCCCAGGGCCCAGGATGCTATTAGAATCTCTCCAACCTTCTCTAACCCAACTCATTGTTTGGGAAATCAAAAGTTTGGGTGTTGATGAGACCCTGGTTAAGAGCGTGCAGACTTGCAGGTTAAACACTACTCGACTACTCTGAGGAAAGTTCTGGAAGAGGGATATGTGAATTGGAAATGATGTAGGTTGACAGGAAGACTGAGAGCAAAGTAATGCTCAGGAAGGTTGGCCAGGGGTCATCCCAGCTCATCCCTTCCAGGAGAGAATCCTCCATGGTAAGATGGTCCAGTCCAATGGTGAAGCTCCTAGTTGTCCTTTCCCTAGTCTGAGATTAATAATGGCAGGCTGGGCACTTCCCCTGGAAAAGGCAAGTGGGCAGTGCTGAGGGGGAGCAGATAAAGACAGGGGCTAGAGAGACTTTTCCATATGTCCTATGGGAGCTGTGGTGAATGACAAACATGGCCAGTACTATAGGCAACAAGAACAGTTGTAGGGCTTCACAGATATGAAGATATCAAATAGACAAAGTTTTTATTTGAGTGGAGTCAGAAAGATCCTTTGTGCTCAACGTATTCTGATATTAAAAATATTTCCCCATTTTTTTCTGTGTTTTTAGATTTTTTAGCCAGAGCTGTTAGTAGCATGTGTTAAGCATTTTAGTCTCACCTGCCTCTGGGGGTGGCTTTAGTCCGAAGAGTCATCTTCTCCCAAGGCACCAGCTCTTCTCCTTTGCAGGTGAAAATGAACTCTTTTCAGACCCAGGGCTGAAGGTCTCTTGGCCTTTTGGCTTGTTTCTATCATGCATTCCCACATGCACACGGACATAAACACAATTAGCACACTTTTCCTTGGGGACATACCTACACGTTTTTTCAAGATGTATCTGTGAAGTAGTCAGAAAAAGACAACTAAAATGAAGAGGGTTGAGGGGGCCATGGAAAAGAGGGTCAAGAAAAGGGACAGGTCTTGACACGAGGGAGTTGGACACCTGGGAGAGGGAACATAGTCCACCTGCAACATGTTCTTATATCAGTTCCAGCTGTTAAACATCTCAGAGTACATACCTCCTGTCCTTCAGTTCTTTGGTTAGGAACCTCCCTCAGGTAAAGCATATGGTATTTGGGTTAGACTGTAGAGCATCAGGGTGCTCTCAAAGAGCTACTACCACATACAAGCTGCAGTGGCTCTAGTGGTTATGCTTGCTGAGGATAGGGCATACCTCTACAGATTACTTTCATACCTCCTGGTACCATTGTGGTTTCAAGAGATAGAAGTCAGTAGAACTCTTGAAAGTAATGAGAGAGAGAGAGAGAGACAGAGAGAAAGATTAGGAAGACAACAATTGTGGTGGGGAAGGCGGCTCATGGAAATCCAGGTCAGAGATGCAGCTGAGAGCCTTAGGACTGAGTGGAAGGAGGGCCTAGAGGCATGCAGAAAGCTCCAGAAAGCTAGTCTCTGCTTTCTCTGTCCATATGAAAACAATCACTGTCAAATAGCTGTCCATTGGGCAGCCAGCCTCAACTGGGAATCAGTAGGTATTCTAACTTCTAAATTTCCTGGGAAATTAACCCATCGCAATCCACTCCTGATCAAACCAGCAGTGTCCAGGGAATGTGTAAACATGCCTGCATCCACTATTAATACACTGAATGCAAGAGGGGTTGGGACAATGACCAGAGAAGTGGGGTATCTTTAACTCCAGTTTCTTGAAATATTGGTTTTACTCCCCCTTTTTGAAGTTAGTTGACTACCTATTAAATGCTAGTAAGCTCTTTGCTCTTAAAGCTCTAATTTGGAGTCTTTTAAGAAGGTGGTCCCAAGAGAGCAGGTAATGTAGAGGATAGGGAATGCAAGGGAGCAGGGTCCCACATGACCAAATTTGCGATTTGATTCCCAGACCCTGGTGGCTTAAAAATCACTCTGGGTGCATGTGCATTCATGTCCAAAATCCTGAGAGGAGAATGGAGGAGAAGAGATTACAGCATGGCCATCTTCTCTGGAAGTGATTTCTTATTCACCACTCCTCCCCACCCCCAGTCTTTAGAGCACACATGCTCTATAGTGAACCCCCCCCCAATAAAAAACAAAAAAGGTGGTCCCCACCGAACCAATGAAACATCATGGGTAAACAAAGACAGAAAGGTAGATAAGCTGGATGGGAGCATGCAGTGAGTGTGTGTCCCGACCTGGGGGACAGTTGAACAGGTTTCCTGAGGGAAGGAGTGAGAGACGGGACTAACGACGTAGTGTTACAACATGGAGACAATGCAGTGTTACAACTCTTCAGGGTCGTCCATGTATTGTGGGCAGCACGGAGACGACAGTGTCACAGCTCTTCAGGGTCTGTCCAGAGATGATGCGGTGTCACAACTCTTCAGGGTCTTCAGGGTCGTCTGGTGATTGTGGGCCAGGGATCGTGGTTATATACATGTTGGTGGGCAGTGATTGGTTGTCCTATATGCTAATGAAGGATTGTAGAAGGTGGGTTATGATTGGTTGCTTTTGTGGACCAATCATGAGGTGCCAGATATGCAAATCTGAGGGATTCTAAGCTCACCAATTTGCTATGGGAAGTGGCCAATCAGAGTATGGTTTTGAAGGTGAGGTTTTGAAGGGGAGCCAATCATGGCCTTTGGCATTGTGTAATTGTTTGCTCTGTGAGAAACCGAAACCTAAGGGTGATATTCGTTGGTGCACAGCCTCCCACAAGTGTGGAGAGAGGGACCTTATACAGAGAGAAGGGACTAGAGAAGTATGACACCACTGCCCTCCCCACCTCCAGCCTTTCTCCTCTCTTCTCCTATCTGTGAGCCTAAAAGATCACAAATGAGTTCTCTAGACTGTCCATCTATGTCTTCCTTAATGTGTGGCCAGAATGTCTCTTGATGGATCTGGAGATGACTTGCAGATGGGGACCTCCTCCTCTTCTCTTCCTTTCCTTTGAGAGTCTCCCAGGGGAGAAGAGAAATGGAGATCTGCCTTGTCTCTAGTCTGTCAAAATACTGACTCCTTAGCATGGAGGCCTGAAAGTATGTTCTTGCCCTTTTGTCCAGATTGGAATCTGAGCAATTTGGACCAGATCTGGAGCTGACTCATGGATGGTCAGTAGGGCCAAGATCCATCTAGAAGAGTCTCCAGGGAACAGTGAGGTACCCAGGTCACTTCAACAAATGACAACTAAGTAAACAACTCTACTACTATGGGGCTGTTCCAGCCCAGTCCAAAGGAAGCTTTTCTCATATGGGAAGAAATGGATGTGCACAATTGATATGTAAGCTAAAAATAACCCATGTTCCAAACAAAGTGTTTTTTAGTATTTTGAAATGAAAACGTGTAGACAAAGCAAGGATTTAGAATGCATGACTCATTAAATTGCTGATTCTAAAAGCAATGAAAATTCAAAGGGAATTTTTTCCCCTCTATTTCTCCCTCCCACCCCTACTCTGAATAGCTTATAAAAACGTCTCTACATAAACAGTGCCCATAACCCCTTACGCCCCCATGACTTAAGGCCTTACACAGTGAGAGGCTGCGGGAACTCAACCTTTATGGCCTGGGTACTGAGCTGGCCTCCCTTGCTAGATTGGAATTCTTGACCACAGTCCCTCATGGCCTATCCATCTTCATTTTCCTTCCTCATGCCTCTCCTCCCTGTTGCTGATAGGTGTTCATACTCCGATTCTGGCCACTGCTCCCCCATCCCTCCAGTGCTCAGCTCTGCTGGACCTTAGCAGTACTAAACTCATTAGCCCTACCAGGAATGGCTCATCACTGAGCATTAACTCCAGGAGCTACATCTTAATGGATAGTGCCACCACAGGGTACCTCCTACCACGAATGTCTCATCACTGAGCATTAACTCCAGGAGCTGCATCTTAATGGATAGTGCCACCACAGGGTACCTCTAGCAGGATGCAGCAGTGGGTGTCTTCATCGGCTCATTCCTTGGCCCATCCTAGGCTTGTAATGGAAGGGTTGGGCTGATCGGTTGTGTTCAATGATT